CTGGCATTAAATTGCCACTGCTCTGCACAAAGGCTATTAAACTAGAGCTGCATCAGTACTGCAAAGGGATACTTTTGGGTAGAGTAGTAATACAGCAGAAATTATTTCTAGTGTATGGGCTACAGAGAGCCTAGCAACATCAAACCAGACTGCCAAGAGTCGAAGGTAGCTTTCTAATGTTTGTTCAAGCTGTTAAGGCATGCTATATTTTTCAGTATAGAATCTATGGATCAAGAGAAGCAGTTGATCTTTTTGAGTCTAGTAAAAAAAAAAATCAAGATGGAAAATGGAGAGCTTATGTCTATGAAAATCTGCTACAGTTCTATATTTATTATAAGCCTATCACAGCACATCCTTCTCAAAGACTTACAGAAAATGTGTTGCTAACTACTAGGGAATTATTGATTTTTTAATTTTTCCCCCCTCATAGTGCTATTGCTTGGCTGTGCTAGAACGGATAACTTGGAGGGGAGGGAAAGGGGAAAAAAAAAAATCAATATAAACTATTATCAACTGTTGACAACAGTTTACAGCAGCAATAATCTCCTTTAAAATAGCTTGCTTGTCATCTATGTAAGGTATTGCTGTTTTGGTCAAATCATTGAACGTTGATAGTATTTGATGGTTAAGTTTTGGTGACCATCAGTATTGTGCAAACTTCAGATCTGAACCATGTTTGGCCGATAACTGCAGTGTTTGCTGTTGGCATTATCTTTTCATTACTAGTAAGAGCCATTCATTCCCCTCATTGGAAGCAACTGATTTTTAGCATCCCATGCTGTTTCGTACATTGTATTTTAGTTCCGTATTTAGACATGTCCCACTCACTAAGGTCTGCACTTCCTCCAGTAATGCCTTAACTTACATGATATCATTTGTCACTGGTTATTCCCCCCACACCTTCTTCCCAGAGAGGTGGCTCCTGCAGGGCCATGTTTTCTCTCAATACAGTTTCCTGGTCATTTTCTCAAATGTTGGACTGGGAAAACATAATGCTGAGATGGTTCCCAATTCCTGTACTAATTTAGGATGGTCTTCAGCTGCTCTGCATCTCCAGATCAGCTCTGCTCATACAGAGTAAAACTTCACTGTGCCAGAATGGAGCCATCACTGGTTACATCTACCTTAGCATTTTGCTTTGGTGCAGTAGTAGGATTGTGATGCACTTTACCCAATTATCTCCATTTTCTGCACACTGCATTGTTCACCGGCTAATTTTGGCACTCACAAACTAGATTAATTTCAGCGAAAGCTACCTGCACCTTCTGCATGAGCTGTGAAAAAAATACAAGTAGCACCTAATGAAGGCACAGGAATCCAAACCAGCAGATGACCATTGAGACAGCTTTGAGCAAGTTCCACAGGGACATTTTAAGGAAGCAGACTAATCTAAAAAAAAAAAAAAAAAAGGCCCCAGCTGTCTAAAATAGAGTTGAAGGGTCCTCACCATTAGCCTCTCAGATCTGCCAAACCACTCCTTATACATCTAAATACCTGCAAGCATAGATGTAACCATTCAGAACTTCAGGCTTTTTTTCTGAATGCCTGGGAGAAAGTGCCTGCAGAGTTAATTTGATTCGCAGGTTGACAGCATCCTGGAGATACTTCTAGTTTTTAACTTATTTTGAAAGCTCCTTCCGAAGGCCACAGACATACAGCCCATAAGTGCAGAATACATACAGGAAAGACAGTTATTGGTCTTCTAAAACACACTAGATGTTTCCATAAATGTGAATTTTTAACTGAAGGTGTTTACACATATATTTATATCATAGTTTCAAGACAATGAATAAACAATAATAAATTATGGAGAGAATTTGTTCTGTGGTTATTAGTAGACTGAAATCTGAACTGCAGTAGTTTTCAGTGCTAACATGATATTCAAAACTTCCAATGAGGAAGCAAAAGCCAGTTTGCAAGTTCTCTTTGTAGTGTTAATCTCTTTGTTAATGTTGTAAGCTACCGCTAAATACTTTATAAAACACATAGTGATAAACATTTATATAACAAAAAATTACTAATATTAACCTTTGCATGCTAGAACACGCCATATATAACTTTTCTCCAAACACTGGGAGAAGTGCTGACCAGAGAAGCCAGTCGCATGTTAGAGATCTCCTAAGTGGAACTAACTAGATGCAGAAGGAGCTGTCACTCATGCCCTCACCCTACTCACATCAGAAGGCTGTCCTGCTTGACAATCTAACTGTGTAGCTTATGCTATTTTTATCCTTCCATCTTTTTCTGATATTGACTTAAAGCCTGTAATTTGTTACACCTGGAATTGCATCTGTTCAAGTTACGGGGCTAAGCAACATGCCAAGGTCCACCCACGTAGAACCTATCACTTGTACAGAAAGTATTTTAAAATATTCCACGTTCACATTAAAATACATTCTAGATGCACAGTTTTTCCAGGTAGATAGGTCAGGCACCTGTCACTCATATTCGTGGATGGGTTACCAAGAAGTTGTACTGTAACATTTTTCCTTAAGTTATTTACAAGCTAAAGGCAAGATAGAATATAGTATCCACAGGAACTTTTTTTCTAGAACAAGAATACACAAAACCCCAATGAAAATGCATTTATAATATAACCTCAAAAGAAAATTTAATAATGCTTGTTCATATATCACAGGTGTCAACAGAAAGTGATAGTTCATACTGTATTTGAGACATCAAGCATCGAGTTGTATAGAATAAGCATATACTCCATGTGTCTTAGTCACAGTTTGATTATTAACAGCTTTTAATGATTTAAGAAATAGAAATCTAAACTTGTCCATCTCTCTTCTTCTTTGAAGGAGCATTATCCTGAACCCAGCTTATTTCCGGAATCACCTGCGCCAAGCTGCTGTGTTTAGGCGCTTGCAGAGATACGCTGAAGCTGCAAGGTACTCCCATGCTCAGGGATTTCTCTTGCTTTCTCTACATCCCTTTCATTCCACCCTTTGGTAGTAAGGATATCATCTTATGTCAAGGCTTTTCCAAAATGGGTGGGAGCTTAGCATTGGCTTTGTGTCTACGATCTCACATGCAGCAGAGCTCCAATCCTCCCACTTGGTGTAACATGAATCATCCCATTTATGTCCCTAGTTGCAATTAGACTAACACACATTGGAGCATTTATTCATTCTTGGGCACGGAGGTGAGCCCTGATCAGGTCCCAGGGCTGTGCTGGGGCAAGAGCTACATGCACAGGAGCATCTTCCACTCAATAGTTTCCTTGTAGCACACTTGAGCTTCTGCAGAGGGTTACAATGGGAAGGCTCAGGGAGGGAGGGGGAATGGAATGGAAAGATTAAAAAAAAAAAAAAAAAAAAAAAAAATAAAAAAAAGGAAAAAAAAA